CTCATATACTAACAATAACATTATCCAAGTATCATACGCTGATTTCCTTGAGACTGTACATACATATAGTGTAGTACATTGAAAAATATCTGACACGTATTTTTTATATCTGCCCAAAAGCCGTTTTAAGAATAGAAAACGCCCTTATGAATGTATAAAAAGGAATTCCAGTATTTGACGAAGTACATCTGTTACAGAATGGGGTATGATTTTCGAAGTTGCTTTGTTGAATCCAAATCTGCTCCAATTTTTGAAAATTCAATATGATGAAATCAATATGGCGGATTTAATTTTTTTTTTAATGAAGACAGCAAGACATTATCGCTTTCTGTCGAATCCGAGAATAACCAACGTGGAGGTGGCGAGAAATTATTCCTTTTTTTTTCATTTTTAATTTTTTTAATTTTTTTGGATTTTTGGAAAAATTGTTTGTTTATTTTTGAGACTTTTTAAAGTGAAGCACATAAAGGAACTGGAGATAAAATTATTATTATTATTATTATTATTATTATTAGATGTTCATACTTTATATTTCAATATATGTGAGCAAATCTCAAAAATAAATAAAAATTTTTTTTAAATCCAAAAAAATTTTTTAAAAGAGAATAGTTTCTCATCGTCTCCATGTTGGTTATTCCCAAGTTCGGCAGAGAGCGAGAATGTCTTGCTGTCTTCATTTAAAAAAAAATCAAATCCGCCATATTGATTCCACCATATTGAATTCTCAAAAATTGGGAACAGATTTAAATCCAGCAACTTCGAAAATCATCGTATATCTCATTCTGTAACAAATGTACAAATACTTCGTCAAATACTGGAATTCATCCCTATACATTCAAGAGTTTTTCTAACCTTAAAACGGTTTTTGGGCAGATATAAAAAAAAAAGTATCAGATATTTTTCAATGTACTACATGTATGCACAGTCTCAGGAAAATCGGCGTATGAGTAGTATTACTTGTAAGATTCAATAAAATATGATCAAAAATAAATTTTGTGTAAAAAAAGAAAGGATGAAATAAGATAAATAAATGAACGAGTTTACTAATACCTGGAATGATAGTAGATATAAGCTGTAGATACAAGTAAATGTTGTAAAGATATTTCTCGCTATCAAAAATATTGGATATTTTTTCTATCGTTTTTAATCCTAAAATATAATTATTGCTGCAAGACTGCGTCTCCATAATCTCTATTCTTTTGAAGTCATATAGCATATGATAATTATTTTCAAATTCGTTCCAAGTGGCATCGTTTTCTCTCCATTCCTTTATATATAATGGAATTCTGACATCACACAGTATAACGTTCACAGACACATTATTTCTATTTTCGTAAAACAATTGATAAATTTTTGAAAAAAAATTCGCATGCCCTGTGCTGTCAAACGTTTCACAGAGTTTTAGATACTTCATCGCTACATCACATAGATTACTCGAGATCTGATACGTTTGGCCCATAGTCAAACTTAAATCTAGCGCGCTAAAAGTTAATATTTCGTTGCTACGTAGAATATTTGTATCTAATATTAGTAAATGTACTTGTTGAGATGCTAAAAATGTTTCAAGTTGGTTGATATATTTAGAGGACTGTACACCTTCCTGTGCAGCAAATTTTATATTCTGTAAACGTATTGTAACACATCTTACTTATATTACAATAAGATTTAGCATACAAATCGTAAAATATATTTACCTCTAGTGTAGAAGTTTTTGAGTTTTCTTTAAAGGAATCTATTGTGTCTAAAGTACGAATGTGTTTATATAGATTCTGCTTAAACGTGTGTAGTGCTTCTGAAAATCGAATCTCACCATCCAATTGTGTGTTTTCCATATGGAACATCTAGGGAACAGAATATATTTCTAAATAATATTAGAAGAAGCTTAAAATGTTAAATCAAAAAGCAGTTATATTACTGTTAATAATTCAGATTCGTATCTTGCAGATAATTTCACATGCAGTTAATACTTAAAATAAACTCTATTTGTAATCTTTAATTCAAATCGTAATATCTTGATCAAAGTTATAATAGTTATTCAGTATAGATTGATGTACGGGATATCAAAGTCTTTGAAATTGCGTTGGATGATGCAAATTACGACGAAGAAAATGAAAACGAAATGATTCAACCAATGGATCTTACGGATTTGAAATCTCTTGTAAAAGATGAAAGCAGATATGAACCATTACATTCTCATGTAAAATATTACAATGAGCGTAACGCCGAAAGTAAAAACCGGTATTCAAATATATTTTTGCTACAACCACGTATGAAAGAAATATTCAATTTCGAACAAGAAAAACCATTTATTGCTGGTTTTAAACATAATTTAGATAAGGTAAATATTTTTATTGAAAAAGCGAAAGTGTCAAACATTTTTCATTATTAAATCTATACTTACAAAAAAAAAAACAAGTAGAAAATAAGAAAAAATTTTTAAATTTCAAATGCTTGTAAAGCAGTACATAATTATTACAAAGATGTTTAAAAGATGAAAATGAAATTTGTAGTTTTATATTTTAGTTTTGTACTGATTAAGTGAGATAATTAATTTTCCAAGGATAATTCTCTTTATTTACAAATGGCACGTAATAAAAATTAACATGTCATTTCTCGCTTCTAACGTCATGATTCAATATGACTAATTATTAAAGAGGTATCAAAAGTTTGTCAAAATAATATAATACATTCTTCAAGCTCCATCTTCGTTTTCTCTGTATCATAATTATTAAATGGTTTGTGAGCAAATTTCTTAATTTTTTTCCCATTTTATATTGTACCGCTTTTTCTTTGAGTATATAATGTATTTCTCCAAAACCATGAATCAGGCCACTTATGTATAACATCAATTAACACAAACAATTAATCATTCATTGATTCTAAGAATATAATGTTCATATATTAATCATATTTATTAATTTTTTAATAAGAACAAAAAAAATATACGGAATTCTGAGAGATTACAAAATTATAGAAAAGATACAACAAACGTTGCTACAGGTACTAATTAATACGTGTAATTAATCACATATTATAATAAATGAAAAGAGAAGAAATAAATATTCTTCTTGGCAAATAAATAGATAAAAGTGTTAGAATAAAACGCAAAGAGATAACAAATCATTATGGAATAATAAACAAAAAGATGGATTTTTTCCAAGTTATAAGAGATAGGAATATTACAACTAGTAAGACAGAAACAACGGAATATTTCATGATAACGCAAGAAACACAATATAACTTGTATGAATATGATCAAAAAACTACAAGTGAAGAAGAAATCAAAATTACTCTGGATCAGTTTTTAATGAATGATATGGAAAGAAAACCTAGAGTTGCAGATAAAAAAAATTCTTATAAAGATTCATACGATGAATACAACAGCACTAATCTTAAAATAGAATACGAACAGCAGCTGGAATTTGATATAAAGGAAGGAAAAGTATTGAATTATAGTCAGAAAGAATCGAAGGATATATCAAAAGGAGCATTGAAAACATTAATAGATTTAAAACGATCGAAGAATTGTACGAAGGAAGAGCTGAGCCAAATCGGAATTAAAGCAATAGAATGTCTTTTATACGATTATCAGCGCACGAAAGACATAATGACCGCGAAGATGATTTTTTCGAGGACATGGTTGGTTCTCCGAATTTGGTTGTTAATTTATATTTTTTTGGCAATTCCTTGTTGGTGTCAAAGAGGTAATTTCATCAAGTTTGTATCTTTTCTTGGAAAAATTATTAAAAATTATTATATGGAAATATTATAATATAATATAATATATATGAAAATTATACTATATTTTAGGATGGTGTTGCTGCTGTTTCCGTTGTAAATTTTGTTTTCCACGAAAAAGAATCATGTTCATCAAACGATATTACGCAATGAATCCGCCTGGCATTTTCGTGAAGGATTTAAAAAAGGAGAAAGAATCTATTAAATATGAAGCTACTGAATATGAATACAACACATACAAGACTTTCGAAGCTGCAATAAGAAATATATGAATATTAATACATTCACTATTTGTTAATCGCATATAATTTAAGATAAATTCAATTTAGATATCCGTTGATTTATATGTTTATCAGCACTTTTTTATTTAGAAATAGAAACATTTTCCTAGATGTGCGAGTAAGAAATACGTTTATAGTTCTAAACGATGAATGTGCTAATATTCATTAATTATAATTGTACTCAATCTTACATCATGATTATTGATAATTTGATGTGACTTGTTTGTGCGGCATAAAAATTATTAAAATATTTATTTAACTTAATTTAATTTGTACAGAAGATAAAAAGTTAGTAATTCAAACACAATAAAAATGCAAATACGAGTAACACTAGATGTATGTGACTTCTAGATGAAGGCGTATATATAAAATTTGTTATTTAAAGATATAAAAAAAATGTAAACGATTTGACCTTTTCTTAAAAATCTTCTTTACTACAATCTTACAAAACAATTAAATGTGTCGAGTCGACTATAAAATTACATTAGTAAAAAACTAAACTGTAAATTGTTGTCAAAGTGAGTGATGAGGAAATGAAGGTGCATATTCAAATGATAATTACGCATTGTAAAATTACTATTTAGAAATAAAATAAGTTATTATATAGAATGAAAAATTGGGAAAATTACTTTACAAGTTATTTATAAATTACATTGTATTGAGTCGGAGGAAAAGTTCTATCGTATTTCGTTAGTTCAAAATTATCTACAGAATATATTCGTTGTGAAATTTTCTATCTGACATAAAAGCTTAAAGTTTTTCCTAAAAATTCGTTTTTAAAAAATGTTCCTACAACTTTTTGTTACCAAGTTACAATACTTGCGGATTAAATAAAGAGCATTCTAATTTTGATTGCTTATAACTCCGTTAAAAATCATCATATCGCAATTAAAAAATCAGATTCTTAAAGCTTTGTTCTATCGAAACAATTACTAATTTTTTAAATGTAGAATTATATATAAATTTGACTAAAAATATGACATTACTTTTCTTTTAACCATTGCGCAATAATTATAAGAAGTGTAAGAAGAACAGTAATGTCATTTTTAGCTCAAATATATATATATTTTATTTTTCTTAAATTGGTATTTATATCATTTAATAGAACAATGTTTCAGCTTTAAGAATCTGTTTTTTTTTTTATTACAGTACGATGATTTTTAATAGACTTATGAGCAATCAAAGTCAGAATGCTCTTTTTTAGTTATCCGCAAGTAGCTCAGGAAATCATAAAAAATCGTAGACACATTTTTAAAAAATAATTTTGTAAGGAAAGCTATATAGATAGATAATTAAAAATTTTTCATTTTTTTCCACTCGTAGTTTCTATATATATATAAAAATTACAAAATTCATAAATTCAAAAAATATAGTAAGTATTCAAAAATAGAGATTTCAAGCTTTAAAAGTCCTTTTTTTAAATTTCAATTTTGATAATTTTTAATGAAATGTATATATAAGTATTGTATATATAATTTTGAACTAAAAAATATCGCAGAACTTTTTCTACGATCTAATATTATACAAATTGAGTACAATATGTTCGCATATTTTATTTTTTATATTATATTTTATCATTTGCTCCAATTTTGAATTATTTTTTGTATTCAATTTCTATAACAAAAGCATATAAAGTAATCTAAAAAGTAACTTTCCCAACCCTGATAGAGTGTTTAATAACCACATCACCTCTCATAAACAAGTAGTCGAAAACTAAATTAAGTTGAAAAGTCCTGTACCATTTTGTACTTTCCGTAATAGTTAACAAGAAATTAATTTCTAAAGATCTTCGAAAGTGTATATCAGCCCGGTCATATCTCATCGCGAAATGTAAAGGCAATGAGGACGCACTAGTGCGTCCAATTGTTAAAGCCGTTATACAATGATTTAATTTGTAAAAATGAAATGCAAATATTTCGAATTATAAAATATTTTACCTCACAGCATAATAAAGTGTATTGAGTATTTCAAAATTTCACCAGTTTTTATATTTATAATAAACATATTTATTTACGTCAATTTCTACGATATACGACGGCTTTAATGCATCAGTAATTTAATGCACTGAGTACATCCAATCGAATTCGTTATTAGTTTAGTCTATTTTACCTCACGAGAAATAATCCGGTTATTACTGGACATTCTGTATAAAATTATAGCCGCAAACTTGAATTATCAAAGTTAATCCCAGTTAAATGTGAGAATAAGTGTCAAGTTAACCGATCGATGTATGATATTATGAAAATAAGTAATTCGATATGATGTATTATTAGTATAAAATAACATTACCTCAACTACCTCTTGCGCTTTCTGAAAATTGCCTTTCCATAAACAATGTACAATTAGACTTTCTTTCGAGGCTAACATTAAATTTATTAAGGATAGTTTATCTTTCGTTGTCAGATGATCCGTCTTTTCTGCAGTAATTCGTGAACATTTTCTGCGTTTATTTCTGCTTAATAAGCCAGACTCCGAACTACTGTCAGATTTAACTTTAATTTCATCGGAGGTACTATCTCTTTTATAAAAAAATGTGTCTCCTGTGATGCGATGTGGAAAACTCGGTGTTTGAGAGATTACAGATTCTAATTTATTTACATCAGAGGGATCAGACTCGTCTTGTGGCGTACCAACATTTTCAAAAAAATAAAGTCCCATATGAAATTTCAATCTCCAACGAGTATCTATCAATGTTGATGTAAAGATGGATAGATTTTCGCGAAGTTGTTGCATTTCTTTATGCGATCCGAGTACTTGTAATTTATCAATTTCTTCTGTTGTAATCAAAGTACTCTTCCATAAATAGTATAGCATGTCTCTTACAGCATATTTATTAGCTATGAAGCCAGACTTCTCATATTCTATTGATTTACGAATATTGCAATCATCTTTGGAACTAACATTTATAACATTGAAATCTTCATAACGTAAAAATAACAAGGAAAATATATTCTCCATTGTTTCTATTCTTAATGACAGAGGAAACAAAGAAGATAAACGTAACATCATGTCAGAGAAGTATTTAGTACTTTGTTTATGTTCCACATTATAAAATTCACATAAAAAAGTGGCTTTTAAGACGTTTATTATGCAACAATATGCTTGAAAACTCATGGATTGATTCAAAGACACTTCTTTCACTAAATCTTGAATGTCACTATAATTTTGATCATGTATATCTGTTATTAGTTTCAAGACAAAAAGTATATTGTGTTTTTGCAAAAGAGACAAAATTTGTTTTATAGATATTGTCTGCTCAATCATATCAGATTGCGAATTTTTTGATTCTTTGGCACTTAATTTCATATCTATATAATGTTGTTTCTTCCACTGTAAAATGTATACCACAATTCTAATATGATTTTTTAAGAGCGCATATAATTTGTTTAAATAATCATCATTGTATAGATCGGAATAACATTTCTCCAAGAAGAAGTTGATGCACTCACAGATAGAAATACTATTGTCATAGCTTTCGCGAGTACTCATTATTTCCTGTGGACAATCATTTAATATTTTAAATAATAACACTGGATACAATCTTTTTAACAAGTTACATGATAACAATAATTCAACTTCACTATATTTTCCTTTCATAGTCAAGATATAACATATATCCTGTAACATATAAAATTTATTTTAATATAAAATTAATCATTAGTAAATCATGTAACCACATACATATATATTGGGTTGTTTGGAAAGTTTGTGCCAACTAACCTATATAATTTAATAAATGTATACTAAAATTTAAATCTTCTGCATTTCAATTTTCCTTCAACATCGGCATGAACTTTCTGGACAACCCAATAATATATTAGCATATAAACTACATATATATTTATACATATATATATATATATACATATATATATAAAAGCATTATGCGCATATATACTAGTCTATACCTATAGTATGCATACATGCAGATATGACTGGTAACATATTATTTGCCATTCCTGCATACATACATATATACAGCTATATATATATATCTATTAATTTGCTAATTTGTTAAATTGTTTTACCAATTAAAGGAAGCTTTAGAAAAATACAAAACTTACCAAAATACCGTTCAACCAATGTAATTTTCTTGCACTTGTTCTTTTAAGTAATTCTTGTTTGCACAAAAGAATTTCAGAGTTTTCTGTTAATTCAAATACACTTTCAGATATTTTATATACTGTGAGTAAAGTAGCAGTGCTTTCAAAACACATGTGTGTTGTATTCCAAAGTAAGAGCCATTCACTTAACAATTTATCATTTTTCTTTGAATATAAGGCAAGTTTAATATTTTTAATATATGATTTTGAAAATGTAGGACAAATCATTTTTAGAAATTCGATCTGCAAATCTGCATCTATATCTATTTTTGACAAAAAGCGTAGAACCATTTGTAGAGACTTGTCACTAGTAGCTAAATCAATTTCGGAAGAATGAGCTACTATATGATTTAAGTGCCATTTTTTTCTGGGTGGAATGTGTTCTAAGTATGACTTCAAAGTAGAAAAATAACTATCTTGTAAATCTCTGGCAGTATCGTTTGGAACAAAAGATATTAATTTGTTTATAATCCAACACACAATTTCAGTACTGATACATATGTTATCTTTTACGAATATAAGGATTTGTTGGAACATAATACTCGAAGTATATTTTATGCTACATCGTGTGCTTAATTCTTGAAGAAATAGTAACAACTCCTAAAAAATAGAATTTTTGTTATTAAAAACAAGAATAACACAAAGTCACAAAAAATCAATTTTGAGAGAAATACCTTTCGTAAACAGTCTGATACATTACTGCATAGCTCTATTGCATTTTTTATTTGTATACAATCAAATTGTGTCTGAATATTGGACTGTATACTACAGTCAACATTAGACTTGTTATCTACAAGTTTCCACAGTAATATATAAGCAATCCATTGATATTGCTCTTCATTTGGAGAGTGTCTATAAATGTATATTCAAAAATATAAAAACAAAAGCAGTGACAATAATATAATTCATGATATAATTAATTGCTTACTTACATCAAGCTTTCGATTACAGTTTCCAATTCTGTTAAGTCAACACAGCAGTTGTGAGGGAATTCATTCAAAAAATTGCTATCGTTGTTTATATTGAAAATATTTAGAGATGTGTACCATAAACGAGATAAAATGCATTTGTTCAATTCCAACCCTTTTGTTTGTATCGACATTGCTCCACATTGCTCTCTTTATAAAATTCTTTTTTTGACCGATGGATTTCCGATTTCTTGTAGAAATCACAGTACCACGCTTATAAGTAAAGATCACTGAGCTGAAAGGGGCCAGTCATACTAGTGCATCATTTTAATTTTATAAAATTGACTACGTGTGTTGTTTCACTTGTGCGTTTTTATCATACGACAAATGTATACAGAATATGACAGAACAGAGAGGTCCTCGGATATCTCTATCCCATAGCCAATCAACAAGCTTGAAAAATTTATCGTACGACAAAACACACAAATGAAATATCATCCTATACGTATTCATAGTCCTTTCTTCTTTTATGATGGGGAGCACAGACTCTTGCATAACACGTAATGCATAAGAAAATGAACCAATCAAAGTTCTTTATTTCATTTCTTTCCATAAAATAAAGAACTCTGATTGATTTATTTTCTTTCATGAGTTAAGGCTTAAACACATGGGCGTAGGCAATAAACACAAGAAAAACAAGGGAATAACGAGCTATCAATCAGAATTCTAGGATATAATATCGACATTTACACTAGAACTCTGATTGCGTTATTCTCTGTTGCCTGCATCTATTGTGTTTAAGCCTTTATACAAGAATCTGTTATTCATAGTCTTTTTTTGAGAAATGAGGATTTCTTGTTCCTCATTTTATGTTTCATAAACCTTTCATGATCAAACAAGAAATTATTAGCTTTCTTTTCTCAAAGAAGATACGAGTTTTCTTCGAGAAGGAGATGTAATAATCATGTTCATAATCAAACAAATCTCCAAATTTAATTCGTCACATCAATCTTTTTATTTTCGATAGTTTTTAATTTAAATCTGACGCATCGATAATTATTTTTAATAGTCCAGCAAACAAGAATAGATTGAAATGAATTGAAATGGATTCAGATTTTCAGAAATATTGATCGACGAATGTTAAAATGAATGTTTTTCAATACATTTTGTATTGAATACATTTTTATTCATTTATAGGAATTATTAGATATACAACTTTGCTTCCGCCGTTTTCCTATAGATGGCTTTAGCGATAAGTGGTGGTCGAAATAAATAGATCATAGACGTCAACAATAAACTTGGGCATCTGTCAACATAACCCCATAAAAACATTAGTCGATTTGTGTCTGCATCATAAAGTTATTCTCGATTGAAAATGTCAGTTTATGAGCCAAATTCTCGTCATTTGCGGGAGGTTTTAATTTTTTGCTTCAATATGAAGAAATCTGCGGCTGAGGCTCATCGAATGCTCTCAAATATTTATGGTGAGGCCGCTATTAGTGAAAGAACGTGTCGTGAATGGTTTCAAGAACGGTGATTTTGACGAAGACCGGCATAGCGGTGGAAGAAAGAAGGCTTTCGAAGATGCAGAATTGGAGGCATTATTTGAGCAAGACTCGTGTCAAAATCAAGAAGAATTGGCACGATCATTGGGAGTCATTCAACAAGCCATTTCAAAACGCCTCAAAGCCATGGGAATGATTCAGAAGCAAGGAAATTGGGTGCTGTACGAATTGAAGCCGAGAGATGTTGAACGGCGTTTGTTTGCTTGTGAAAAGCTGCTTGAAAGGCAAAGACGGAAGGGATTTCTGCATCGCATTGTGACTAGGAACGAAAAATGGGTTCATTACGATAATCCCAAGCGCAGAAAATCATGGGGAATTCCCGGCCATACTTCCACGTCGACGGCCAAACCGAATATTCATGGCTCCAAGGTCATGCTCTGTATTTGGTGGGACCAGCTCGGCGTAGTATATTATGAACTGTTAAAACCGACTGAAACAATCACAGGCGATCGATATCGAACGCAATTGATGCGTTTGAGCCGAGCATTGAAAGACAAATGGCCGCAATACAACGAAAAACATGATTTTGTAGCATGACAATGCTCGACCCCATGTTGCGAAAGTGGTCAAGACATACTTGGAAACGTTGAAATGGGAAGTCCTATCCCACCCGCCGTATTCTCCAGACATTGCTCCCTCTGACTATCACTTGTTTCGATCAATGGCACACGGCCTGGCTGACCAGCACTTCCGATCTTATGAAGAAGTAAAAAATTGGATCGATTCGTGGATAGCCTCAAAAGATGACCAGTTTTTTTGACGCGGGATTCGTACGCTACCCGAAAGATGGGAGAAAGTAGTGGCCAGCGATGGACAATACTTTGAATCATGTATAACCAGTTTTTTACAATAAAGCCTCGAATTTCGGAAAAAAAACGACGGAAGCAAAGTTGTATACCTAATACATTAAGCATATCTTTTTCAATCTAAAAATAATATTAATTTTTTCTGTGCACACAACATACATTGTGAATACTGTTCAATTTAAAATTTTGAATAGGAAATGCAATATTTTAATCCAATTGAATCTAATTGAATCCAATTGAATCCAATTAAGTCCAAAAAAAGTATTCGCTATTTAAAATACGCATTCGAATAGAAAAAAAAATTCAATTCATTTTAATCCATTCTTGTTTGCTGGGCTCAAAATCCGGCTGAAATGAGCGATCACTTTTTCAGCGCCACTCTGTCTCTGTGCCAAAACTGATGTTCCACAATCGCGTGAGTATCAAGAACGTACTCCTGCTTACTTGGAAATGAACC